ATGTATATTGTACAATGGCGTACAGTGGCATAATGTGCACCTCTGCCTACCCCTTCTGGGATAAATAGCGTGATGTTATGTTATGTTATGTTATGTTTTTATATTATACAGTCGAAAACCCATCGAAATTGGTATAGATTAACTAAAAATCGCGGGTTACTCACGTGAATATACTGAAAAAAGCTCTACTAGTTTCGAACCACAGACACTGTCGCGCAGCCTACTGACATCGCCGCGACCGCGCACGCTGCTCATGAGGAAGAACCCCTCTGTGGTTCGAAACTAGTAGAGCTTTTCTGATTTACATATTGTCTCACGATAGTTATTATAGAAATTGGTATAGGTTGATTTGGTTATCACTGTATAATAGAGTACGTACCAAAGGTAATATATTTTTAAGTTAATTCTATTAATTTGGTGTTATTACTCAAGTCACCATGAAATTTCTAGTCCGTTCAATCACCTCTACGATAATCTTTGAATTGAAATGTAAATGTTAGAATAAGCAAACATCTTTATTGTGGAGCCGATTGATTATATCTCAAAAGTGGTGAAAATACATATACATATGTATATGGTTAAATTGAAATACTTATCCTTGCATTCCAGATATCATGGATTGGATTCCCACTAACATTAAAAACGCTTCGGCACATAAGCATTGTGCTATAATAGCTGGGTATAAAGGAGTTGATGGTATTCCACAAATGGTCATCAGAGCTAGTATTAACAAGGCTTTGGTTCCCGGCAAACTACCTGAAAATGACAAGGCTGCTTATATAGGTTGGGATAGAAAGCAACATAAAGTGTTCGACTTCGAGGTTTGTACTTTTAACTAATTCACAAAGAACGACAATAATTTTAATATTATAGGTGAGTGTTACGTGTATTTGCTTAATACCTTCATAGATTTCTTTTATAATCTCTAAACCATAGCCTCCCCACTTTATTCACCAGCCATTGTTTTCTCACAAACATAACACAACATAACATCACGCCTGTCTTCCCCGAAGGGGTAGGCAGAGGTGCACATTACGGCACTTAATGCCACTGTACAATGTAACACCCACTTTTCACGATTTATGTTATGGGTCCCATGTAATAGGGGGTGAGCCTATTGCCATATACCGGGCACTATTCCAGACTCCGTGCTACTACTGGATTTGTTATTGTTTTCTCATTTACAAATATTTTAATGAACTCATGACAACGTTTTTTATAAGAATGAATAACCTTACCAATGATTCCTTAGGCCTTGCACGGGGTTAAAGAAAATGCCCAGAATCTTAATGGCTAAAAACCACTCCGTTTCCTAGTCCTGCACTCCTGTACTGTGCATCCGCTTTACTATATCCCGCCTATAGTCTGATGATTCTTTGAGGCATGAGGAATGCCCGGTGCCATATGATCAGTTCTGGTTGGGCGGCGACCTAGCTTTCTAATCCTATATAAAACTTACATAGGTAATATATACTTTATAGATATGCTGCGTCAGAAACAAAGAGGAAATTATTTGGAAAACAGTGGAGTCTGGAATTATACCTGAAAAAGCGGTAGTGGCTGGTTACACTGCAGATGGAGTGGATCTGTATATTGGCAGGACTGCCGTGCTAGGAGAACTTACATCTGGAGCGGTAAGTATCTAAGATTTTTCTATAGGCGTTGTATTGTACTGTGATCGTGCTCCATTCTTGTTAAAGCCCGATGTAACATTTATTGACACAATAACCGGAACAATATAATTCGTATTTTTTCACACAAAATAAGAGCTCCACGATTAATCACAGTTACATTTTCACGTTACTGATTCTATTCGTTGGAAATTACTGAGCCTTTATCGACTCTCAGTTTCTTAAGTAGTTTTTTTTATTGAACTGAATTTCTTATTGGTAAATTGTGGTGGGACATACATTATGAATGTAACTAAACGAATCTATATATAGATCGATATAAACTAAATAATATATAACTAGGGCTAAAATAACAAAAGAAAAATAGGATAGGAGAAAAAAGAAAAACCAACAAAACGCATCAAAAAAAAAATATCCTCATCATTGTCATAAGATATGGTGCCCGAAAGACTGGCAGCATGGCGACTCTGGATGGCAATGCTGCAATGCAAGGAACCTTTGATCAAGATAGTAGCCAGCCTTTCGATCACCTGAAGTACCAACCAACCAACAAAGATATTGTAAAGAAGATGTACATTTGGACCCCATGGCCCTAAACCAACCCCAACCCCAAGCAGTTCGAAAGCACATTGGCAATGAGGCTAATATACTTTCGCCGAGGCTTTCTACTCAGATCAATTGCTCCAGCCGAAGCCTCCTGCGTCCCTGGCCCACTCGCGACTTACGCATTTACGCTTACCCTCCGAGCAGGATCACTACTTTCGTGACTACACTCTGGATGGCCAATGAAGGCAAGCCAGAATTGGGAGACCTGTTCCTCGTCATCGTTCAATCCAGCCAGCCAATTAAGGCAAGCCGTATAGTAAAGAATGACTGTTCCCTGGAGCACTCGGGATGATGGTGGCCCGCGGGATCGCTAATGCCCGCCACCTCGCTTCAAGGTGCCTTGCGGGCTTATTATTAGGCATTTAATATATTTATTTAAAATTCTCTAAAATACATTTTTAAATACTACTTACAAAAAAATAATATTTAAAAAGATAAAAATAGAAGCCGACCAGTAATGCGAGCCGGTCCAAGCTGCCAGTGGATAGGGCTGCAGAGACAGAAACCTCCTCACAATGCGCGCCGGTTTCAAGGAGAACTGCCTTCTGTAGGGCATACAGTCAAGCCCTTGACCCAACTGCCTAACGCCAGCCTCCTAAGATGGTTGTCGAGGCTATTAGGGATTAACCCATTGACCGACACGACCATCGCCTCAATGATAGCCAAATCCACAAGCCACATGTCGACAACCTCGTGAGCTATCAAGATATTTTATTTGTTTATCTTTTTCAGCTTTCACGAGGTTTTCAATGATGATATTGATTATCATCGTGCGGCGCACTTGTCGGTTTATCATCACTATATCACGTTTATGAGCTACATAGTACTGTCAGTGATGATATTATATCGGTCCCAATACCTCTACAATGTGATATGTCATTTTCCAGAACTGAACAGAAATTTTAAGCTATGGAAAACATGTGAAGGGAATTTATCTAATAAAATAATCTCTTATTTCAGGTTCATTCTGTGTACAAAGCAATACACGTAGCGTCTAACGGTAAAGAAGTAATCAATGATAGGTTTGATGTACTGGTTCGTAATTTATAAATGTCATTCGTGAATGTTTTACAAACATTCTTAATGTAATTAATTGAATATAAAATCTTGCAGGCCATACAATGAAACTACTCTTGTTTTAGCATTTTTGACAATTTTAAAACCATTAATTGTTGTTTCCATAGAAATGTTTACGACTCAACCAAACCGTGACCCACTCGATATACCATTGTAAATACAATAGATGTGATTTTTATTATATGTGGCAAAATAGCAGACGAATGTAAATTAGACAAGAAAAAGTAGCCTAATGTAAGTATAGAGGAATTTAAAAACCCAAATGCAATTTCCCGTTTTATTATGACCATCGACAATGCCTAGTACCGATGAATAAATAATGAACAAAAAGAATCGTTTATCAAAATACAATCATTTATTAAGTGATGTATTGGAATCAGATTTTAATATGTAGAAGTTCTACATTATATTGTCAGGAGAAGGTTCTTATGACTGTACAAAAATCCTGACAATCCTACGGGAACGGGAAAAAACCGGATTGCGCGTACAGTCACAGTCAGAAGCTAGCCACTTATATAGCAGTAATAAACGGGTACATTGGTATTGTCAATGGAATGTATAGAGTTCATGGCATTATCCTTTCAGAACATTTTTAATGAATTTATAAAATTGCTAAAACAAAAGACGTTCAGTTTCATCGTCTGAACTAGCACTAACAGGGTTTTGCGTTAATTCTACTTACACCCTGTTTAAATAATTTCGTTACATTTTTAAGTATTTTTTGCTGTAATAACTCATGCATGGGTAGACTTTTTTATAATAATATAAATATGTTAAAACAATTATTTGATTTTAGTATTAGAACAATAAAAAATTAAACACTTTAACTCGGGAAAATTTGGGTTTCCCCTTGGCATGTGTGATAGCCGGCTAAAACTTGTAAATAACCTTTATTTTGACAACTTATTTGTCTCAAAATCTACATGTTGTTGGTCGTTTGCGACTATAGAAAAGAGACTGGAGTGGGCTGGAGAGTAAAGTATGATGTACAGTCAAAGGCCAAAAGTCCACTGCCACCGTGAGCGATGTTCACACGGCAATGCGTAAGTAATTTCATATTAATGTGAATAAAAACGCGTGCATACACATAAACACACGCACGCGTACGCACACGGATAAATATATGTGTGTCCATGTGTGTTTAAACGCTGAAGCACAACCAATAGTAGTCTTACGGTGGCAGTGGACTTTTGACCTTTGACCGTATAAAGACATGAAGCGAAACCCCAGAATCAATTAAAATAATTTAAGTGTGTAATAACCGTTTAGTTTGTTTGTTTATCTGGCTGTTCAGTTTCTGTGGCCATCCTGCCAGCGTTCTGGGTACTTTCCCCGTAAAAAAATCATTCGTATCGACAGTAGTACATGATAACGGATGAATTTTTTAATGCTCTCTGTAAATAGTCATTTTTAGTTCTTTTTTATTTAATTTTCTGCATTAGTTTTAGTTTATTTTAAGTTGTACATATTAGTTTAATTTTATTACTTATTTTTATATATTACGTAAATAAGTACCATCGTATATAATTCTCATAATTATTCAATAGATGGCACGAAAATCAATTTTAAAATAAATGAAAATAATAAAGATTATTACATTGTTTCCTTTTCCATTTCCTTCTACATTTTAGTCAAAGGCCTGCAGTCACACTTAAGTTTAGCCGATTAGTCTTAAGTTAACGTTCACACCCACTTTTGAACCGTAACATATGTATAATAGGTGATTTTTTATTAAACAGAAGAAACATAGATTATTTTCAACATATTTGTCGAACAAAGGAAAATGGAATTTGTACCTATCAATACATAGTATAAAACAAAGTCGCTTTCGCTGTATGTCCGTATGTATGCTTAGATCTTTAAAACTACGCAACGGATTTTGATGCGGTTTTTTTTAATAGATAGAGTGATTCTTAAGGAAGGTTTGTATGTATAATAAATGCATATTGCACCCGTGCGAAGCCGGGGCGGGTCGCTAGTAAGAAATATAAAAAGACTGCCTTGTTAACCAAGTTGTCGCAAGTGCGACTGTCGGACAAGGGTTCTCGGGTTCGATTCCCGGGTCGAGCAAAGTATTACTGGGTTTTTAAACAAATCCCAGTAGTAGCACCGAATCTGGAATTGTGCCTGGTATACGGCAATAGGCTCACCCCCTATTACATGGGAGTCATAACATAAATAGTGCAAAGTAGGTGTTACGTGCGTACGCATAAAAGGCGTGATGTTATGTGTGTGTTAGAAATATAAGAGACATGCCAGATTATGTATTTAATATGTTTATTTCAGCTTTGTATATTTGTGTCAGATGAACCATGAACTTGTAAACTTTTCTATTACATATACAGGCAGATAAATAAAAAACATTATTAAATGCATTTTCTACCGGTAGGTACTTCGGTATGTTTTTCTGAAATAATTTATTAATCATTGTTTAAAAACATTAGGCCCTCTCGCAGCAACATACTCTTTGACTCCCGGTAGACTCTTTATCTTTTTAATTAAAGCTTCGACCCTTGGGTATTTCTTTTCCAATTCAGTGTCCAAGAAGTAGTTGCTTGCCTCTACTAGGCCGCATAGGACAAACTCCACCCAGGATAACTGTAAATAAAAATACGAAATTAATATAGCTTGTTTGCTACTATTGAACCATCTGATTTTTACGTCATTGGCATAATATATACAGTCACTGGACTATTAAACTTATGTAAAGAACAATAAGATTTAAAATCTATTAAAAATGGCAGATTGGTAGATGCTCAGCTCATGTACTAACATCAAAATCGTCTCCGCTTTCGTCGTCGCTTCTCATGCATGACGGTACAAGTTCGAAACCTACTAACGTCAAGTACCAATGTGACTTTTTCCGAACTATATGTACTTTCTAGGACAATTTAGACACCATTGACAAACAATGAAGGAAAACATCGTCAGGAAACCTGAGCTCATTATTTGTATTCATTATTTCTAGTTTAAAATCGCCTATCCGCATTGAGCAAACGTGGTGATTAATGCTCACACCTTCTCCGTGTAAAAATAGGCTTTGCTCAGCAGTGGGCATTTATAGGTGTTTATGATGATGATGAATTATCGTGGCTGATTCTCAATATTACAAAATTATATCCAGTCAAAATTTTACCTTTCCACTAAAGTAGCCACCGTTTTCCTTCAGATCTTTGTCAAGTCTTGAGAAGAAATAGTCTATAGTTTCATCCAAGAGTTCACGCTTCAATTCTTTCTTTTTTTCAGGGTCTTTTTCTCTGATGAAAGTCACAACCTCTGTAAAATAAATACAATATTATATTCTTTTTTTATCTACACTGTGATTCTTCTTTTTTATTGGCAACCGAAGCTCCAATACAGTATTGTCGACTATACTGCCAGTGTTATAATATATTCATGGTCATGGCTTCTTATAAACAGTACAATTGATTAATTGACTGCAATGTCAACTTCAATTGACTGACAAATAATTGATTAGTAACTTTTATTGATATTAGGTGGTCCAATGTAGACAGAAATGGTTGGTCCTAATGGTTCTACAATTTGTCATAGTTATAATGTGCAAGTATAAATTAAAGTAATTAGCTCGTTCTTTCGAATCTACATTTTGGAACGAGCTTCACTGAAGGACAGACTGAACGACTAATATTTCTTTTAAAAAGTACCAAATTGTGGTTTAATTGAAATAAATACTTTGACTTAAGTACAAGCAGAAGCAGTTTGATTTCAAGCCTAACGAAAAAGCTAAAGATAATAGATTTGGTGAAGGGTATTAAAAGTTACCAACTGGGATGATGACAGGGTATGAAAATTAAAAATCTATTTAGTCCGTAAGTTAGATAATGAAAAAATATTAGACACCTATTTTTTATTTTGTCGTATAATAAAACAATACTTAGATAAAACGAATCAAAGTTTAGGAGTGACGTCACGCGACATTTCAAATCAATATTCGTTACTGTAAGAATATATAAAATATGTGTCTTATGATTTAAAATAATGTACCAGATGGACATTAAAATAAAAATTAGGCATCTACCCTATTGCAGAAGGCGATTTATTTGATGATTCAAATCATTGGTTGGTTCATCAATGGTTAAGACTTAGAATACTTACTTGACCAATAATCGTAGATTGTGTATACAGCTGCATCCAAAACAGCTTGCGTCCAAGGATCAGATGGAATGAGATCTGTGCCTCTAGCCACATACTTTGCGATAGCCAGTGATTGGGTTAGCATACGATCTCCTTCTTCATAAAGAGGAAATTGTCCGAAGGGTAATTCTGTAAATTCAATTATTTTCTTGATTTTACACACAAAAGTGGAGGGTTTATATATCTAAAAATAAGTCGACAATAAATAATCATATAAAAAAATCGCACGTTTTGATTGCTGGGTGACCGGCTCCGGGTATCTGGCAATGTACACAAATTACGCCGGTAAGTGTGAAATCTAGAGGTACAATAATAATACACTGCGCCACCATGGACCATGACCTTGAATTTATATTGTTTCACGTTTCAAGTCCAATAGAAATTTTACACTAATCACAATTATCAAAACAAACAATCTAAGATAACCAATAAAATAATATACCACTTCCAAAAAACAATGTTTTAGGTAATACAATAATACATTTTAAGTACTTACTCTCTTTAAACTCTGGGTTTGGCCAAAATCTATGATCATGCCTGACATCCTCAAATTCTTGCTTAGTGTAATGAAGAATATACCTTATAGGCTCAGCTATAGCGATAAAATTAAAATAATGCAGTTTTTTGGCCATTGTTGAATAGTACCGCGAAATATTGTTCTCGACTGATTTAATGATTAGAGCGTACTGAGCAAAATGTGGCTGTCACTTATATATATACAAGTAAACATATAAGTAATATATATGATAAAGAAAGATATATTAACAAGACTTGGGCCCACGGCTCCATTCATGTGATTTATTTATTTAACTTTTTACCACTAGAATGGGTTTAAGTGGTAAAAAGTGAGAATAGTAGTAGAAGGTTGGCTAGTGAGAATACTCGTATTCTCTATTTTCTATTCTAGGTGATGCAATGAGAACATGTTCGGTGCAATAAGTTGAAAACTTAAAAGTAATACATTTATATCAAAATCATAAGCACAGATAAACATAAATGTGTACACCAAATTACTATAATATAATATAATTACTATAATATAATTTTATGTTCAAAATATATACATATGTCATAAATATATGATACAATTGTGAAAACAGAATAGAATATAACAATATTTATTGTACAGTACACCATTAATAATATAGTACATACAGAAAAATGTAACCAAACAAATATTAAAACAAATGGGCAATCACTGATAGTGATTTCTACCAGATAACCATTGGGTGGACATAATGCAAAGGAAATATTGAGACAGGTTCTGTACTACGAAAAATAATAATAGTTAATTAATTAATCTTATACTTCTTATAACCACTAATATATTATACATATAATGCTAAAGAGTTTGTTTGTTCAAACGCGCTAATCTCAGGAACTGCTGGACTGATTTGAAAAATTACTCTTGAAAAAAAAAATTGTTTTTGATAGCCCATTTACCGAGAAGGACTATAGACTATAAAACATCACGATACGGTCATAAGAAGCCAGGTGGCCAGTTATGATGAATGGGATGCCGCCTCCTTCTTTTGCGAAGCAGTCATGCTAGCTAAGGAGGAAGCGGGGCGCATGAGGCAGCGAAGCGCTACCTTCTCACAACCTCGCCGTCGCGAAGGACACTCCGGGACACTGGGTGGCTCGCCGCCCGATCAGAACCAGACCCGAGCGTACGGTGCGTCGCGGTCCGCGCACGCCTTAAACAGCCATCAGACCACCACGGATGGGGCCCAATAGGGCTGATGTATATCTACAGACATATATCTATTATCTATCTTTAATATATATATGGATGCTGCCGACACGGAGCCGCAGAAAACCTAACGGGTTACCGGTGCTCCGGCTCGTAGTGCAGGAGTAGGAACGGGGTGGTTTTTAGTCAGAAAGAGTCTGACACTCCCACCCGCCTCACCCAGGCGAGAGAAGGCATTCGATGATTTTCCCCCTCCTAAAAAAATCCTTTTATATTACAAAAATCTTCGCTTTATCTTTTACAAACAAACTTAAAAACGTTTTAATGTTATACATACAAATATGTACTTATCGGTCTTTCAACCTTCAACAACATTGGGAGTCGTCTTATCGCTCGGATAACAATTATACATTTTAATAAATCATGCAGTACAGTTTTTTGTTACCTATTTAAAAACAATATTTATTGTCAAACATGAGTTAACAGTTTCTATAGGCACTATCTGGCTTCTTTCAGAGTGGTCCGTGATCGGAATATGATAGATTATTTTTTTATTTTAATCTTATTTTAAAACTACATAATATCACGCCTTTAATCCCTGAAGGCCGAAGGGGTAGGCAGAGGTGTACAATACAGCACTTAATGCCACTATACAATGTAACACTTACTTTTCACTATTTATGTTATGAGTCCCATGTAATATGGGGTGAGCCTATTGCCATATAACGGGCACAATTCCAGACTCCCGTCTACAATTTTTATGAAAAACCAAAGTTATATTTTGCCCGACCCGGGAATCGAACCCGAGACCCCTTGCCGAGTCGCACTTGTGACCACTCGGCCAACGAAGCAGTTATTTTAAAACAGTAGACAAGTTTTTTTTCATACAGAAACTGTACAGAAAATGTACTTTCGACGACATCTTGAGTTAAAATATCACGTGACGTCATTTCCAAGTACATTTTATACTTAAAAATGACGTAGCTAGCTCCCACTCCCAAATTATGATTCGTTTTATCAATTTTTTTTTATACGACGAAATAAAAATATTCCTGTCTAATAGATTTTTAATATTCACACTATCATCGTTACTAATAAAAAGGAGGATTCTTATGTATATGTGTTTTTCTACACTTTAATTAATGCGTGGACACTGACAGTGCGACTGGTCCACCAATTTAAGGTCGCGCAGCGAGCTATGGAGAGGGCTATGCTCGGAGTCTCTTTGAAGGATCGAATCCGAAACGAAGTGATCCGACAGAGAACCAAAGTTATCGACATAGCCCAAAGGATCAGTAAGCTAAAGTGGCAGTGGGCCGGTGACATTTGTCGAAGAACCGATAACCGTTGGGGTAAACGTGTTCTAGAGTGGAGACCGCGTCTGGGCAAACGCAGTGTAGGGCGCCCTCTAGCTAGGTGGAGTGACGACATCTGCAAGGTGGCTGGCAGTGGTTGGATGAGAAGAGCTGAAGACCGAGCTCAGTGGCGTGCCATAGGAGAGGCCTATGTCCAGCAGTGGACGAATACAGGCTGATGATGATGAATTAATGCATCAAGTAAAATTATAAAGCAAACAAGTAAGTCACTTTCCTGTAGGAATGATATCATCTCTAAGTGCTCCCCGGAGCTTTTCAAGGAAAAACGCTTGATAAATCTTAGCATTCAACCACTAGTTTATACTGTTTGTTAGTATGTATTTGTTATAGGATAAACCGGTAACCGACCAGACGGATCACCTGATGGTAAGCAATCGGCGTCACCCATGGAACATCAGGCGTTACAAATGTGTTACCTACCTTTTGAGAATTAGGAATATGAGTATTGTTGAGTATTCAAGGATTGGGGAGATTAAGGAAGAGAAAGGGAATCGGGTCTCCGGTAACCTCACTCACTCGTTGTTTCACGTCAGTTTTCTATGAGGGCGTGGTATGACTCCGGTTGACCCGGCCCATTCGTGCCGAAGTATGACTCTCCCACACTAGTTATTTAACAACTTATAATCATCATAATCTTATCTCAACAGTCGTATTATACATGTTGTATAAATATACTTACTCACCCCCTATGACTTATCACCGTAATATTACACAATGACAGTAGGTTTATCGAATAGGTGACTTGCGTTTATTCCGCACATTACATAGATCGTGATGACAATGATTTTACTTCGACTTGTGTATAATCACTATATTTGATTGACTCAAAATAATACTTACAGTAATTTTTTGTCGTGGTCGAGTGAGGTACACAAATATTTTTAAGTTCTACGAAGTATTATCGTGGTTACAATTTAAAAATCGTGTTATTTTATGTTCTACGTGAATTGAATACTTATATAATTTGTACGCCGTGATGGCTAAACATGACTGTACTTATTGTATGTAATACTTATGTTGAACAAATGAAACTATTTTATTTTTACCTTTACAATATTGCTATGTTGTCTACTAGCAGCAGTTTGAGTGGTTGTTTGTTTTTTTTTATGGAATAAGCCGGTAAACGAGCAAACGGATCACCTGATGGTAAGCAATTGGCGTCGCCCATGGACATCTGAACACCAGAGGCGTTATAAGTGCGTTACCGGTCTTTTGGGGATTAGGAGTTTGAGGATCGATGGGGATTCAGGGATTGGGGAGATTGGGGAAGGGGAGGGTAATTGGGCCTCCGGTAACTTCACTCATACGACGAAACACAACGCAAGCGTTGCTTCACGTCGGTTTTCTGTGAGGCCGTGGTATCATTCCGGTCCAGCCGGCCCATTCGTGCCGAAACATGGCTCTCCCACACTTGTTTTTTGGTTGGTTTTGTATTTGGCTGTGTTTTTGATTACTATAGAGTAAAACTGTATTCCTACTATAATATCATAATGAGTTATTAATCTACTGTTACAAACAATGAAACAAAAAATATACCAGGTCAAAAAACATGGCTAAAAAATCAAAAAATACTGACATCATTTTTCATATTTTATTCTCCTTGAACATGGATACAATTCGTATAATATTTATATATAAAAACACTTCATTTCTTGTACTTAAATCTAGCAAGGTCAATGGTGTAGGGTCCTATAGCCTTGACATACTCCTTCACTCCCGGTAAATTCCTGATGTGTTGCACCAAAGTACCAACAGCTGGATAATCCTTGCTCAATTCGATGCCCAGAAACATGTCGCTGGCTTCAATCACCCCACAGAATACGAAGTCACCCCAGGAGAGCTGAAATATTAAGACACATTCAATTAGAGTCATTAAGTGTACTGGGCGACGCTGAATGCAGGTTATTTTCTTTTTCGATCTCTTCGACTAGATTTTGGTGTTACATTATTCTCACACAATCGAACCAATAAAACTATGTAACTAGAGAATTTTATTGTAAACCTTATTGAAAAAGAGGAACCAATGGAGTTTCTTGCTCGTTCTTCTACATAAGAATCTACACCTTGAAATGAGCAAATAACTTCACTTTTAAATTTTTTGTTGACGTCAAAAGTGCCTTTTAGGTCTACTTCAATTATAAATGATTTTGACTTGACTTTGACTTTGATGCAGGTTGTTGCTCGAGCCTATGTTTAGCAGTAGCCATTTTATGGATGAAATGATGATGACAAAGGACAATAGCGATATGCACTACTTCATTTTAGTAATTGCGAAGTATTTGCTTATACTACAGCTAATAATTATTATTTCATCATTATCGGTCATTGGGCCACTCATATAAATGTTCAGTACGAGGTCTCAGACTCAATCTAGGACAAATTAATACTAGGATTCTGTGATTGTCGCAACAGTCTTGCAAATTTAAGTGTGCTTGTGCATGCTTTCGCACAAATGGGCCGGTTCGACCGAAGTGATACCACGGCCGCACAGAAAACCGACATTAAACAATACCTGCGCTATATTTCGACGAGTGAGTGAGCGAGGTTCCAATCTCTCCAATTCCTAAAACCCCTACAATCCACAAATTCCTAATCACCAAAAGGCCGGTAATGCATTTCTAACGCCTATGGTGTTCCAAGTGTCCATGGGCGACGCTGATATCTTATCATCAGGTGATCCGTCTGCTGCCCTAAGCCGTATACCGGTTTATTGCATAAAATTATCTATATTATTGCAGATGTGGGATGATAGCGACAATTAAAAAAAATACTGTAGATGCTCCTCTACGTTGAACGGTTGAACGTTGTAACAATGTTATTTAATGTAGGTAGATAAAATTGTTCGGAAAGATATAATTATCGTCGCCCTCGATCAGGATCGATGACAGAGGTTGATAATGATAAAAACATTTTATATCGCAACTTTAAAGTAAAACCGTTATTAAACAAAAAATTTAATGAATTGAATATATACATGAAATAACTATTTAAACATCCTAAAATAAATAATTAGATGGCATCAGCATAATTCGTGAAAATTTTCGTTTAGTAACAGTTTGACTTTAACGATGCGATATATACATTTTTTTTTAAACGTTGCCCCACACTAGGATTTTCTCCTGCGTCGTGGGTGCGTTTACAAACATACAAGTTTACATACACATTGACACCCAGACCCGGAACAACAATTTGTGGATCACACAAAGTGTTGTCTGTCTCGTGCGGGAATCGAACCCGCGACACTTTGCACGCAGCCAGTTGCCCAGGCACCGCACCAACCGTGCAGCAATTATATTCATGTAACTTGCCTTGCCATTCAAAAATCCACCATTATCTTCTAAATGTTTGTTAAATCTTGAGAAGTAGTATGGAATGTTCTTTTCGATTATTTCATTTCTTAATTCTGTGTATTTTGCTGGATCGGGTTCTCTCACAGTTGGCACGACATCTAAAACATAAACGTTATTATTATTATTAAGTACGTTTTAGGATTTATCCTCGTAATTGTTAACAATATCTAACAGTGCATTAAAAGTACAAGGTGCAACTTTTACAGATTTTAGTCGATTCGATTACCGTGTGCGGCAAGCGAATTTTTAAATATCTTCGAATGTCGTTTTCTTTCAATTCGAAAATAAAGGAGTGTTTTCTTTGAGTATAATGTACTATCTAAAGTATTAAGAGTACTTCCCCTTCAGGCGGCATTACAAAATTCCACCCTGTATATTTATTTAGTAAACATGAGTAATTAAAATGAAAGTATTTTTGGTTAGTACACACGGCCACACATCAACCTATACAAAACCAGTTTATCCTGGTATCCCGTCGCATCATCTTTCCGCACATTTAACGTTCAGTTTATACTGGTTATGTAAAGCTCGATGTGTAGCCGTGTGTATCTACCTCTACAGTCTACATGTTTTGCCTTTTATGGTGTACTAAATCAATCACTTTAGGCAGACAATACCAAAATCTACAATCACATAAC